AGCTCAGCCCGCGGCGGGGCCGCCCTGGGGAAGCCTTGCGCGTTTCCATTGGTCGCCGTAGTTTAGGAGCAGTCCATATGCCTGCTCGTCTGCTTGCCCCATCCCACAGAAACGATTGGGATCAAGGACCGAGTGTTTTCCAGAATAATGCAGGAAGGATGAAGCAGTGGCCTAAAAGTACAAAAACAAGGGGGAAAAATGTCCTACTGCAATAGCCTGGGAACGGTTCCCGGGAATCTAATATTGTTCCCTTTCAAGCTCTTTCAAGGCATATGTGTGTGTATGTGTATACATATATATATATATATCCTCCAGGTTTCAGTGGGCGTCTTTCTGCTGCTCTGTTATCATTATTTCTTGCCTTGATGTGACGTTGAAGACAGATGACAGCATTGTCAGGTTGTCTTTAATTCATTTGAAGATTAAAAAAAAAATACACACAGGCTTTTACGATATTCAAAGCCTGAACGAATTTACTTTTTTTTTCTTTTTTTTCCCTCCACATAGGGGACAGGGTGGGTGGGAGGGGGAGCAGCTGATGAATTTAAGACATGGAGAGAGAACCAAGTCTATGCCTTGCTTTGCGGTTAGCTACACACACACACGGACGTGTGCGCATATATARACACAGAGCGGTCGCTCAGAGGGGGGATCTTTGCAGGAGCGATACCTGCTTGATCGTGCCTAGATGGCCGTTTTTAGGACAGTCTCTTTGCCTTTATGCACGAGTCCAAGTGTTTCATCTGCTCCGGTTTCAGCCCCGTCTCAGCTGCCACAGCAGCCCACTCCAGTCGGAGAGTCCGGCTTTTTTTTTTTTTTTTTTTTTTTTTTTTTTTTTTTTTTTCTTTTTTCTTTTAACACCTTGATGCTTCATCGCAATAGCGTTTTACATTTACAGAAACCCTGGGAAGTCTGTGCTCGCCTTGCTCCGCCTGAGCCGGGATTGATACTGAGCAGGGCTGAGAGCCCCTCTGGTGCGGACTGGTGGGTCGCGCCGTGCCGAGCTGCGCAGGGACGGCGCGGCTCATTTCCACGTTAGGAACGTCCGAAATGATTTCCAAAATCTGGATGGAAAGAAGCTTTGATACTGATAACTCCAGTGGTTTTCGAACCTTAAATTCGCTTCTTAAAAAAAAAAAAATTAAATCTAAACGGCGCTTTACTGAATGCCTGTAGAAAGAGCCAATAGTCTTAAATAAAGGCAGTATTTTCCTGTGTCTTTTCCCAGTGTGAAAGAATTGGGTTTTATCTTTATTTTTACAAAATAGAAATTCACATTAACTTGGTTTTAGGAAGTTCGGGCCTTTCAGGACATGTCTGTGTCGTTTCGATGTAGATGTGGACAGTTCATAAGAAGAAAAGAAAATCGCAGCGAGCYGCCCCAGCCCCCTGATCCAGCTACCTGGCTGCTGATACTGAAACTAGTTACAGGGGCTGGGCGGAAGGTGTCTTTCCAGTCTTTGAAAATGGAGACCCTGTTTCCTCCTATTGCCGAGTAAAATCTGCCCCTCGTAAAAGCCTCCTGGCATTGGAGTTCAGCATTGGAAAGGGGGCAAAGCAGCCATGTATCTATACGGGGTTAGCAGGGACTCGCGGGCATAAGTCAATGTATGCATGCTCACATAGGCTCCGAGGTATTGCATAAACTCCTGCGCTGTCTGTGGAGTCCGGTGTTTTATTGTTTCATAAAAGTAGCTTAATTACATTTCCCCATAGATAAGATAAACAGAGCCCTTCTTTTTCCGAGCATTGCTTATCAGAAGTATTTTGTCGAAGTGACATCCAGGGGAAGCCTTTGAGAGTGGATGGAAATTCATTAATTTTTATTCTGGTTCTTCAGTTGCGCTTAGCATCTGACCAGAGTTGATTTAAATATTACATGAGTTTATCTTTAATGTTCAAAAAAGATTTGCGAGAAAGATGAAACTGTTTAATTTAAAGTAATGTATGCCTGACTCCGGTCAGATTGATCTGAGTTTCGGGGTTTGATGGGTTTTGCCCTTCTGTTGCTTGTCCTCTCGAGCTGGTTTTTCACTGTGAAATTATTTTAGTTCGGTGGCATGGACCAGCGGCTGCTGTCAACTCCGCAACCCATCCAGTTAGTAAGAACGGGGGGAAAAAATAACAAATGCGGCCCTTTTACGTAAAAACATTAATGTCYATAAGTCGGTCTCTATTAGGGGAAGAAAAAGAAAAAGAAAAGAAAAATCCTAGATTAATATCAAGATCCTAGCTGACATTTGCCAGGTCAAATATTTAACAAGCCTTTAGGAGGGACGCCTTTACCACCACTCTATAAAATAAGCTACTTTAATTTTTCATTAATGACGAGGACAGCATCAGAGCACAACAGCAATAATGGGAAACGTTCCCTTTTCTCTGCTCCCTCCCAGCTCCCTCCGCGTGTAACTTTTGCCGGGCTGCAGCCGAGCCGCCCAGCGCGCAGGAATCCGCCCCGCGCGCTCTTCAAAGCGCTCCCCGAAACACCTGATGGCTGCGGGATCCCGCGCAAGGGGCGCGCGGCCGCTAGAAAGCTGCGGCTGTAAAATACACGTGCGCAAGGCGGGTGCGTGTGGTGCTGGTGGGTTTTTCAATCGCGACAAATCCGCCCTGGTTGCTCGCACTCCCAGATGGAGCCTGAAATGTAATTTTCTTCGAATGAGGAGTGGTTAAAGCGAAGCAGGCCGGCCGCGGGAGAGCGCGGGGGGCGCGCCTGGCTACGCGCTCGCGAGCTCGGCCCGCGCTTCTCCCGCTCCCACGATGAGTCTCCCAGCACCAGCCGCCCCTCAGAGCCTTCTTTCGATTGCTCGCCGCGTTTGCGTGCATTCCGTGCTTTATTTTTAAAGTTACTTGGCGCAGTTTCGAGCCCTGCCCTCCCTTTCTTTAACTCRTAGGTTCATAACGCGAGCTCCCTTTCCATTCCCTAAAACAGAGCCATGCAATGCTCCTTTTCCCATTTAAGGGGGAGAGAAATACATTTGATTAAAACACAGAGTGTTTCCAGTGCGGATCTCGGATGAGCGCCCCGAAAGCGGTGCCGGTCCCGGTGCCTCGGCTCCGCGGGCAGCGGCAGCCGCTCCGCGCCGGGGCTTCATTAGCTCGCCGCTTTCCTCTCCCTTGCACGTTAACGCTAACTTCTACTAATTATCTGGAGTAAATGTATTAGACTAATTAGCATCTGGGCGCCACGGGAAACTTTGAACAGTAATTATATTGTGGGGGATAGAGAGGGAGGGAGGGAGGAAGGAAAAAAAATAGTGATTTGTCAGGCAAAGTCGCCGCTCGCAACTGTTCCCGCCGCGTTGCGCTGGGGCCGGGGGCGAGGGCAGCCCGCAGCGGGGCGAGGGGCTGCGCGAGGCGGCAGCTCCCGGCTCCGCCTGCGCCTCTGCCCGCGCAAGCACCCGCGGAGCTGCCGTCGCCTCCCTGGCCTCGCTCCTGCTCTTCCCGTTGCCGGGACGGCAATTGCTCGGTGCTCGCTCTCAGTAGCTGCTCCGGCTTCTCCGTGGCAGCCTCGGCTCCTACCTGAGCGCAGCGCGACGAGCCGCGGGGGCGGCGGAGCCCGCGGAGGTGGCAGCGGGCGCGGGGGCCACGCGGACACGGACACGAGTCGCTCGGCGTCGCGGCGGCTTCGGGCCGCGCGGCGGGAAGGAGCGACTGCCATCAAATGCTGCGCTCCTTCCCTCCCCCTTGTCCCTTTAGGAGAAAAGGGGGTCTCGGAACAGTCCTTTGTTTTTTCTTTTTTTCCTTTTTTTTTCCCTTTTTTTTTAAACCGTGATGATCATTTGTTCGCACTGAGGAAAGAAATTGAGAAATTGAGAATAACTGAATGAGATCGAATAGCGCTCCCCTAGTTGCTTCCGAACTTCTCATTTAGAAAAGGACACGAATAGTTACGCATTAAAGTGTAAAAAAGCTTTCAGGTRATCTACTTCATCTATTACAAATAAGTTCTGCCTTCCTCTTTTGTTTCTAAATAAAGAACCAAGTCTTTAAGGTGAAATTCAGGGATTTTTTTAAAGCAGGTTTTTCAGAGTAAAACACTAAAAAAAAGAAAAAAATGATTAATTTTCCTCTGGGAAGTGAGAGGAGGTTTAACCGATTCTCAGCTTTCCCATTTTGTGCCTACGAATTCTACTGAAGGGAAAAAAAAAATAATTCCCGCCTCTGTTTTTTAAGAGAGCCCTGAGGTTACAATTAAAAAAAAAACTTTATTTTTTTTTTATTTTTAATTAAAATTGAATAAACGCTTAAGGAGAAATTAGCAGTTGCCTCCATCCGAGACCTACTCGGGTTTATAACAGAATCAAAGCGTATATATAAAAAAAAGTAAAACCTTTTAATACATCAAATATACGGAATTTTAATCTTTAAAGCGATACATTGTCTATTTTAGTACATGACGTAAACCTTACTTAACCCTTTTTACAGGGTGGACTTAAAAATTAAAAATAGTTAAGTGTTCCTTTTAAAGAACAAAATAAGGCAAATGAGGTTTTTGGAATAAATTGTTTTTGTTTTTGTTTTTCTTCCAGAATACATACAAAAAAATACCAATTCTCTTTCAAGGGTATACACCTTAAAAATAATTGCAATTTGAAATTATAACTGACAAATTGCGAGTTGTTTTTTTTTTAGTAACAAACATGCATGTAAATTTTCTGTTTCAATGAGACATTAAATAAGAACTTACAATACAATCATAGCAATTTTAAAGTAACATTAAAGAGAAGACCTCTATCTTTTTTTTTATTTATATCCTACAATGAGTGTTCACTTTTACCTATTGAGCTCAGTTAAGTAATGCACTTTATGATTCGTTGTCCCGCTTGAAGCTAACATAAATAAATACAGTGCTCATGGATCCAGTCCGCAAATGAACACTATTTTATAAAAAGTCTGATTTTTTTTGTTTGTTTGTTTGTTTTTTCCTTTCCAACTTTTAGAAAGTTCCGCGGGGCTCCGCGCCCGCCGGTCGCGGCGAGGCGCGCGCCGCCCCGCGCTCACTGGTAGCCCAGGGCCGAGGCTGTGGTGAGTCTCTGCCCGTAGAGCGCGTACGGGGAGTAGTAGGGTCCCGTGGCGGCGGGCACGGGCACGGGCGCGCCGGGCGTGGGCAGCGGGCTCTTGGAGTAGGGGTGGTAGCGGCTGCCGAGTCCGAGCGCGTGGTGCGGGCTGCGCAGCGCCAGCGTGCCCGGGCTGCCCGGGGCGCCCGTCGTGGGGATGTGCATGTGGCACGCCATGGCCGCGGCCGCCGCGCTCGCCAGCGACGAGGAGCTGGGGTAGCTCGAGAGGAGTTTATCGGTGCCCGGGAAGGCAGTGTGGGTCCGCAAGTGGCTAAGCAGCTCCTCCGAGGTGGCGAAGCGCTTGTCGCACGGTCCGTTGGCCGACACCCAGTTGCAGATGTGCGGCTGGGGGTCGTTGGGGAGCATGAAGCCGTAGGGGTACAAAGGGTGGCCGGCCAGCGAGGGCGGCGTGGCGCCGGTGAGCGAGGAGTGCACGCTGTGCAAGGGGTGCGTGGGGTAGACGAGGGGGTATCCGGACTTGAGCGCCTGGTCGTGGGCGCAGGAGGCGCCGGCGGCGCCGGCCAGGTGGCTGGCGCAGTGGTAGCTCAGGCARTAGGGGTCTCGGCACAGGCTCGCCGTCATCACGGAGGGCGGCGAGGCGCCCGCCAGCGGGCTCGAGCCCGCCGGCTTGCTGCAGCCCAGGCTGCCCGCGGCCGCCAGCTGCGCCCCCACCAGGCTCGACGACTTGGTGGGGTCCAGCGCCACGCCGTGCGGCAGGAACTGCGGCGGGTAGCCCGCGTAGGCGCCCGCCAGCGTCCCCGGGTAGCTCATGCCCGCCGGGGGCAGGGGGAAGACCGTCTGGCCCGGCTTGTAAGGGGAGACGGGCGCCACGAGGCCGGAGCCCAGGACGGAGGCCGAGGAGGTGGCGGTGGTGCTGCTGCACGAGGAGGCGGAGTCCGAGGCGATGGGCTTGGAGCCCGGCGTGCTCTCCTGGTGCTGGTTGACCTCCACGTTAATCCCGGCACAGCTCACGCTAATCCGGCTGTGGCTGATGCTGGTGGTGCCCGGGCCTCCCTCCGAGCCGGAGCTGCCGCCCTTCCCGCAGCCCTCCGCGTCCTTCTTGTCCTCGGCGCCCTTGCCCTCGGCCGGCAGCAGCCCCGGCGAGCAGGCGGAGGCGCTCGAGTTGGGGCTGCCTGTCCTTGGGGTGAACGGCTGGCAGGTGGCGCTCGGCACCCGGAATCCCGACTTCTCCCCGGCCGCGACCCCCGCGGCGGGGGCGCCCGCGCAGCCCGCGGCCCCCGGCTCCTTCTTCTCGGCGCCCGGCTTGGAGTACGGCTTGAAGCTCGACTTGTCCTCCACGCCGATGTCGCTGAGCTTCAGCGGGCCCGACTTGGAGTCCTTGTCCCCTCCGGAGCCATTGGAGGTGACCGAAGAGAGTTTCGAGGAAGGGGACGGGTCTGGCTTCCCTATCTGCGAGCAAGTTTGCGCCAAAAGGGCCAAGGGGCTCTTCTTCGCATCCAGCTGCAGAAACCACAAGGACATACAAAGGCAGAGGTTTAATCGGGGTCCAGGCGCAGCCCCGGAGCACACACACACACAAGACACTTGCCCGTGCGTTTTTCGCAGAGAACAAGCCTGGAAGTGAGGAACATTTTCGTGCGCATTCATCACCCTGACAGCCCCCTCCCCTGCATGCACCATTTTCCACAAAGCCTCGTTTAAAGCGGGCCGGCGGTTTCCGCGTGCGGGGGAGCGCGGGGCCGGCTCCGCGCCCCGCTCCGCGCCTCGCCCGCCGCCCCCCCGGGAGGGCCGCGGGGCTCGCGCGCCCCGGGCGC